AAGGTCTTTTCCAACCTAAACAATTCTATGATTCTAACTGTGGAGTTTCTTACAACTAGAAATTAATGGACCAGTGACGCATTAGTGCTGTTAGATACTTTATAAGGATTTCTTAAACTGCAGTCCCTTTGCAACTGCATTAACTTAAATGTGGGAGCTTCTTCTCAAGCTCCTCAAGTCATTTCAGTATGTGGAATGCCTGAACGCATATCCCATCCATTTGGAACATTGTTCTTTTCTCCAGTTCATTAGGTAGGGGGGAAATTTAAAAAAAAAAAAACAAACCAAAAAAAAAACACCAATACATAGCAAGAATTATCCCACTTTGGGAAGTCAAGCTTGATACTTTTCCTTAAAGAAATGAGCTCCTTTGCAGTATAGAATCAAATCTGTTTGAGCCTCAGTCCTTCTGAAGAACATACACGTATATTTGGGGGGCAACTTTATGGACATCAGTCAGGTTTGCCAGCTGCACAAAACAAGTCCCAAGTGATTAATATCACAGTTTATCATTGCAAGGGCCTATACATGTTTGCTTCATGTTAAGCTAGCCACAACTAGGAGATTTATGGATTGAGGGAAAGCCAAGCTTCTGGGCCACCAGAGTTTTGAGCTTAACAAATTTGAGGTTTGTAATGTTCTTACATGCTACAAGTCAGAGTAAACACAGAGGAAATAAACAAGCCATTAAGAAGCAATGGTTATGAAAAGAGAAACTGTACTTCATACAAGTTATATCGGTCTTACATGTTGCACTTGTTTTAAACTGTTTTAAAGACATATTTCAAAACAATCGAGTTTTAGACTGCCCACACTATTCAGCAAATAACAAGAACTATGCAGTCAAATCCCCTTACAGCTTTTGGAAAATTCCAGTCAGAAGGAATTAATGTATACTCCAAAAATTATTAAATAACCTAAACAGATTATTTAAATAACCTAAACCTCATCTGAATGAGGTTTTGTAATACACTGATGAGGACATCCACAACTCAGTCAACTTACTCAAGATTTTCCTGCTTGGCAGGTCATTATACAGCTGTTCAGCATTGATCTGTAGAGCCCTGTAAAACTCTTGACAGTGTCTGTCTCCTCTCTTTTGAAGGTGCTTTATCAGATCTGAAAGTCTGGTATGGAGTGATGCCTTTGGATTTCTGAACTGTAAGAGAAAAGGACTCATCAGAAGAGAGATTACAACAACTGGAGATCAATATTACATCACTTTACAGTATGCCAGGAAGTGAAGATATGGTGCTTGTTTTGTATTTGCTAACAGAATGGGCCAAAAAAATGAGAGGAACCTAAAAAGGACATGCATTGCACAGCAGTCTTCAAGACGGTGAGCTCCATCTGGTCAGCACTGCTTGATGGAGAGCATATTGCCTCTGCCTTCCCTCGCTACTTCTGCCCTGATAAAGTGACAGCTGCTCTGCATTTGATGTTTTCTCTGCATTCAAACTAACATGGTACTTGCTACTCTACAATTTGATTCTGACAGCTATTGATAGACAATATCAACAAATCTTATAATAAAGTTTTATTTTTTCAAGTTTTCCCTTAGTTGCCTAGTAATGATCACCCAAAAAGTACTTTATACTGCTTATATTAGTCCCAACATTGGAGTGTTCATCATCCCAAGAATACATTTCATTGTTTCCAGCACAATTAACTGCTGCGTACCCAGTGTAACATGTGCAAATTCTCATTCCTCAGGCAACATGGCAAGCAGTTGCAGAAGAAAGTACTTTTTTTCTGTAGTCCAAAATGTGATGAATATTAGGAGACCTTACAAAGAGAATGAAAACATGTACCTAGCCTTACACACATCAACTGATTTCAGCTTATTCGGAAAACATCCCAAGCCATTCTCAGCAAAGCATTGTATTTCAGACCAGTACAGCAGATAACATTTGTAGTACACTTAGGATCAATTCCTGCTCTAGGAGGACAGGAATGCAACATACCTTACACAACGCTTTTTATTCTGAAAAAAATCCCACAAGGTCTACCGGATATAGCTGAGATTGTAAGCTTCCTAAACACTCAATAGAGTTGACAGAAACTTGCCTGGACCTATGAGAAAGCAGTTCATTTCTGTCTGCTAAATGCAGAAGTCACAAATGGTGTTTCACAGATTCTTTACGCATTTATTTTGAAGCTCTTGAGGGAATGAGATAAACTTCAATTGTGCATATCATACTGTTTATCATAACTGAGTGGTTAGACTGGCTCAGCTGATGACCTAGCACTGCTCTACACCACCAAAACACTATTCGTCCCCATGGAGTTTGACTATGACAGCACTAGACCTATTTTTCCTAATGCTAAAATACTGATATGCCAAAATCCTGAGCCTTGTGCAGACAATGAAGTCTGCAGAGGGCAAGCACAAACTGTTATAAGTAGGATCTGGGAAGCTTTTAACTGACTTTAACTTTCACTCCACACAGCTACCCATTTTTGAAAGCTTCATGCCAGGGAGGGTGGCTTTCCTCCATACATAGCGGCACCACTGGAAGATGTTACTAACTCCATCCACTTCCCACAGCTCCCACACTTATAGGTGGGACTAATGCCCCCCTTCTCTACCAAAGTAGAGAGTTATTAATCATGTTAATCAGCAGCTAAAGCTGATTAAGCAAATATAGATGACTTTGTGGACACAGCTGGATGCAGCACAGACCATCTGACATGACACTCCACGCCGAGTCATGTGAGGAGGCAGGCATGTAGGGCATTTGGCCACACAATGGGAGCAATCCTGCCCATGGAGTGGTTATAAGATAGTATGCTTCTGCACGGACAGCATCGGATGTCATGGCAGGGACCATGGCATTAAGCTGCTGCTGAAGAGAGTGCCTTCTCTCATAACCACTTGGCACACGGAACGTGCCTGCCCTGTGACTTTCTCCTCTGATACGACATCCCAGATACAACCAGTCAGCAAGTAAGAGCTGAGGAAGATTGGCCGCACGTGGCACCAAGAGTCAAGTAAGGAAGATGGCAGCTGAGCTACTGACCTGCAAAAGCAATGCAACATTCAGAGATACAGTAAAATTAATCAAATTACCTTTTCTGCTTCTGCATTGGTAAGAATTTGGGGGTAGACTCTGTTAAGCTGAAGGATAATTTTATCAACCACTTGCTCATTCAGTCGGCTATTGCTTGTAAGAAAATACATGTCGTGTTGCAGCCGATGACAATATGACTGATCTAGAGATAAAATAATACAAAGAACAAACCACAGCAGTTAATTAGCAAGCCATTTTTAAATTCTGTAAATTTCATTTTCCTAACAGTGGTTAAATAGCTAAAATAAAATTACCACCATCATGTAATTTTATAAAGCTGAACTATCTATTAGGGTAACACAACATAGCGACGTGCTTTCAAAGACCCATCCACTTAAAATTACACACATCTGAACTCCTGGCTGGTCACTCATGCTGCCTCTCTCTTTCCAAAGGGAGAAGGTTCTAAATTATTGAGATGTCAAGCACTCATGGATATTTAATCAAATACAATCCCAAAGTTGTTAAATTACTGAAGATAAATTTTCTATCATTTATGAAGTCAGATTATGGAGTTTAAAACTAATGGGGTTTATAATTCTTTTGATGTAAATGTGTATTTCATAGAAAGAGGTTCTCTCTGATGTAGAACAGTAAAAGGACATAAATGTGGCATTACTGATACTGGTATACAGCACAGGGCTGGTCATTGCCAGCTACTTAGCGCCTGAGGACTGTAGCACAGCACGGGATGCAGAGAAGCTCGCAGAGCCAGACCAAGCTGGCTGAGCTGGCATGATTTGACCCTAACATCACCCAACCCTCCAAGAGTTTATTGCTGCCTTTTGTCTAACGGAAGACTTCAGCAACTTGTCCACTGGAAACTGCCCAGACTGAAACAGAACTGGAACATCAGGAACAGCATCTCTGCCAAAGAGCCATTAAGTTTTTAGGGAAGGACTTATACCTTCACTTCATGCAGGAGTGGGGATAAACGGCATTCAAAAAGCAGTACATTTTTACCATGGAAGTACACTAAAATACCCATACAAATAAAACACATCTTTTTCTATTAACTCAAACCTCTGCAAATACACAAATCCAGACTTGCTGTTGTTTTAGGCACCATTTCCAATTTGACAGCACTGGATTTTGCAGGACCATAGCTTTCCCTATAGCTGCTTGTCTATAGTCCCTAGATTAAGATACAGGTACAGACTGGTTTCACAGGTTACTGAGCCCTTACCAGATTTAGAAAGACAACATCTATGACCATGTCTGAAATAAGTGGTAAAATGTCAGCACTTCATAACCAGGCAGCACAGAAAAAACCAAAACACCACCACCCCCACCACACCCCCAGCACATTCTTGATTTAAAGCAAATGCATAGGTTTCATGGTATTTTAGCCACCAGAAAACATATAACCATCAGCCCTCTGTGCCCTGCAATTTAGAGAAGATAAACAAAAAAATGAAGAAAAAGAGCCAGAAAAAACTTTGGCACAATGCACTACACCTACGCACAGCCCTTGCTTGCCCTTGCTATACCATGTCCTTTTTCTGTGTCTGTGTAGCACTAAGAGCATTTATAGGTTAAGGGTTCAGGAAAACCTCCCAGTGTGACCATCATGCACTAATAACTTCTCCAGTGCCAATGTCACTCCTATTCAAACAAGAACACGCAGCTGTTGATAACTGCATAGACAGCTGCAATTCTACAGGCACAACAGCATTTCAGTTACAGTCTTACTTTTTATACAAACACCATATTATTTCCATGTGTTTCTAATGCCTCGCTTTTCCACAGCTCACTGTCAAGGCAGCTTTTTAGTGTACTGTCAGAAACATACTGCCCTGATATACTTGCTGTGCAATTCCCTTTTGCTGCAAGAAGTTCCATGTTATCTGATTCACGTATGAGCTCAAACTTCTCCTCTTCAAGTCACTGGCACACACAAAAGGCTGAGGTGAGAACCAGGAGACTGCAAAGTTGTGTCTGTTCATGCATGGGAACAAAGTGCCACAGTGCCGCTTCCTCCTCCTTCTTCTGCCTCATGTACATGATTTGTAGTGACTCTCAGTGTCACCAACAACTCTGTACCTTCTGTAAACTTACAAAAACCACACATTAAACCAGGGTCTTACAGCTAGCAGAGAAATTAAACTTCAAATAGAACTGTGACATTCAAACAACAAACCACAGCAAGTGCTAAAATCATGACAAGGATCTGGCACAATGGGTATATGAAGTAAAATAAAAGCAGGCTCAAAGTGGTTCCCTGCTTCTTGCTCTGTTGCTGCCTTGTCATTACTGATCCCTGCACAGGCAGCACACAAAGTATATTAGCAGCAATTACACGAGTGAAGTTAACTGTGACCAATTGAAGACTGCATTTAAGTCAAGATCATTTTCTGAGCAGTCAGGAGCACTCCATATCCTCACAGCACTTATCATTTACACTCATTCATTAAACCATCTTACCGAGGGCTTTTTGCTGCCATCTGAAACCTGTGTGCTGGTGCACAGTAGGTTATATTACAGGGCATAAGCCTCTCTTGAGATTTAAAGGGTGGCTATGTTTTCTTCCCATCTAAGCTAAAAGGCAGGAGAAGAGAATGAGATGATGCCCTTGGCCTCTCTGGCTACTGCTAAACTGTGCCTGCCAATGACAGGTCTTATGCCTGGCTTAGGCATCTACAAGATGCTTCTCCCATCCTATGGGATGCTCCATTTTTAAGAAGCACCCGTGAAGCTTCCTCCCCATTCCCACAGAGACGTTTCACCTGCCTGCATCTTCACCTCTTCCAAATTCCTTCAGTTCAGTATTTAGGATAGGGTGCAAAGTTTAAAATTTCCTGAAGAGGGGTTATCAAGCTCAACACTAACTCAATAAAAGCAGAGCAGAAGTAACGTCCAGTATCTCACCTCTCTCTTCTGAAATCTTTTACTCTCCTCTAACTCTGAGAAATCTCTGCCCAAACCACACAAGGAACTGCCTTCAGGCTTCTGGTAGACCAGAGAAGTGAAACTGACACAGCCCACCAGTGCAGAATTGTGCTCCAGCTACTAAATTTAAAGAAAACAAACAAAAAAAGCCCCACTAATCCTAGTGGCTGGAACATGGCACCCTGCTTTGGAGTGATAAGGGTATCTGGAAAGCACATGTGTGCATTTGAAGCCACCATGCAATGCTCCTGGGCCCAGCTTGCCCCAGGAGCTCCAGCAGCTTTGTTATAGCATGGACTTGCTCCCATGCACTGCCAGTCATGGCCTAGTGTCCTGCTTTCAGCTGGGATAGAGTTAATTTTCTTCCTAGTAGCTGGCATAGTGCTGTGTTTTGGATTTAGTATGAGAAGAATGCTGATAACACACTGATGTTTTAGTTGTTGCTAAGTACTGCTTATGCTAGTCAAGGACTTTTCAGCTTCCCATGCTCTGCCAGGTGCACAAGAAACTGGGAGGGGGCACAGCCAGAATAGTTGATCCAAACTGACCAAAGGGCTATTCCATACCATATGACGTCATGTTCAGTATATAAACTGGAGGGAGTTGGCCGAGGAGCAGCGATCACTTCTTGGAGACAGGCTGGGCATCAGTCAGCGGGTGGTGAGCAATTGTGTTGTGCATCCTGTGTTTTGTATATTTCTTTTATCATTATTATTAATAGGACAGCAGAAGAAGAGAAAGTAAACTGCCTTTATCTCCACCCACAGCTTTTACTTTTTTTTTTTCCGATTCTCTCCCCCATCCCACTGTGCATCACTTGCTTTCTATATTATTATTATTATTATTACTACTACTACTATTTTACTTTATTTCAATTATTAAACTGTTCTTATCTCAATCCACGAGTTTTCTTACTTTTACTCTTCCAATTCTCTCCCCGATCCCACCGGGCCAGGGGGAGTGAGCAAGCACCTGTGGGGTGCTTAGTGGCCAACTGGGGTTAAACCATGACACCCAGTTATGGGTGTACAAACATGACCGTGCTATAAAGTTTTATAATCACTGTTCATGAGCAGCAGCTTTTTAATATTTAACATGCCCATTATTTACATTTTAAAATAACAGAAACCCCAAACTAGGTGACTTCAGAACTGCAGCAAGGCTACTGATGTGCCGTCAGTTCTTAACAATTTAGGGAGCAGTTGTTTGGGATATTTCACATATCCACCTTTTATCTGACTGCCTCAAAGAGATGACAGTTATTGTAAGGAAAATTTAAAATCTTTATGCCAAGAAGACTTTGTTTTTTAAGCAAGAGTCACCCCAGCATTAAGGACAGTCGTGCTGCTAGCCAATACTTGCCTAGAAAGTTGAGAGCAGCAAAACTGGGAGACCAGGTCAATTAAACACAGCTTACAGCACAGGCGTGGCATTGCCAGGTATTTTAACACCCTCAGACTGCACAAGGATTGTTTTTACACTCTGAATTTGTAATCTGATATTACTGCAGTTACATCTTCTCCTCCACTAGTGCATTAATCTGACTGTCCAGTCCACAGACTTTGGACCCAGCCGCAGGTTTGCTCAGGCATCAAGCTGCAGTGGAAGAGTCTGCAGGCTTTGACACAGCTGGAGGGTTGGCAGTGGACTGAGCTCAGCCGCACTGAAGAGAGGCAGCAAATACAGCTGAGACTGGATACCACGTCACTGAAGCTGACCTAAAGGTTGCTTAAAAAAAGGTTGCTGTTTTCCTTAGAGGAAATGTAAACTTGTCAAAGAGACCAACAGGAAACTCAGGAACTGTCTTTGACAGTTGAGAAGAAAATATGACTAATAATTTCGTGTTATTGACTTACAATTACTATAAGCCCATGACACATCATACATGACCACTTTTTTTCTCTTACTCAAAGTACAAAAGGCCTCTGGCACACAGCACATGCACACCATGCTAACATACACTGCCTGCACCTGACTGCACACAGAGATGGAAAGGAAGTACATGTATAATTAAGAGATATCAGAGAAAAGCAAAGAGATTACTGGTTATTTGTAGCCAGCAGCTCCTCAAACAGAGAATAGAATACATAAAATCAGTGATTATAAATGCAGAAGCAGCACATGACACTAACAAAACAACACACTCATCGTTTTTCACCTGCAGGTAAAAATCACCCCCATTGCAACCCTTCATAAAATGACACGTCTATTCTTCCTTCCAAATGGGCAATTAGGTTTTTGACAATAGCTG